ACTAAATGTCACATCCCGGCCCGGGCCCCCACCACATCTCAGGCTCAACTCCACCATAGCACGATATTGTCCACTTTAGGCCCTGACCAGGTCCTCACGGTTTTATTTATGGGAACTCACATCTTGGGAATGCTCTCGCCCTAACTCACTTAACTTCATAGTTCCAATGGAATCCGAAGCCACTGAGCTCCCAAAATGCCTCGTGCTAGGAAGATATGAGGAATATACATATAAGGATTATAAGATCCACTCATCTGGGTGATGTAAGGCTTACATGATCCACTCCCTTAGGCGATGTAGAATGTTACAATCCACCCCCTTTAGGGGCCCGATGTCCTTATCAGCACACTTCTGGCCATGGATTAGCTCTAATACCAAATTGTCACATCCCGGGCTCAACTTCACCGTAGCACGATATTGTCCGCTTTGGGCCCCAACCACGCCCTCACAGTTTTGTTTCTGGGAACTCACATGAGAACTTCCCAGTGAGTCACCCATCATGGGATTGATCTCACGCGAACTCACTTAACTTCGGAGTTCCGATAAACCCCGAAGCCAATGAGTTCCAAAAAAGCCTTGTGCTAGGTAGAGATGAGAATATACATATAAGGTTTACATGATCCATTCCCCTGGGCGATGTAGGATATCACACTAAAGGCTTTATTACATAAAATTACTAGCACCTGGGATTTAAGTTTTATAATATAATACATGCATTTTTAGAGTTATAATGCATGTATCTAGCTTTAAATTTGTGGCTTATGGAATTCTTGAGTTAATGACATTTTATGAAATCATTTAGTTTTTTAGGAGTCATATTGCAAACCTTTATTTTTTATGTCTTTTCATATTTTTCATTTTAAGTTGTAAGCCTATAAATACTTGTATTTGTAAAGAAGAAGGGGAGATGTTGTTTGAATTATCATATTGATATTTGAGTTGTAAACTTGTTTTTATGTGTCTTTCTCTTGTTTAAGAGTATGTTGCTTTATTCTTTATAGTGTCTACGTTGTAGGCTGGTACTAGAACCAAAGTTCTTAGGGTTTTTAGGTCTCTCCTCACACTAGGAGATAGTGGACCTTACCTATCAATCTTATCTATCATTTTATTTCGTTTCTATCCGCTGCGCCCTGCATCAATTGGTATCAGAGCGTCAGCTTGATCCATGGTGACGTTATATTGAGCATGTCGCATATGCCATTATATGAAGATCTTAATATGGACCTTCCTCCAATATTTGATCGTTGCTTGGATAGTTCATGTCCAATATGTTGTGAAAATTATTCAGTTGATTGTCTCATAAATCTTGATCTTCCTCCCGAGTTTGATCGTTCTCCATATGGTACTTATCACGTTTGTTGTCAAAGTTCTTGTGTGGTTCAACGAATGTTGATATGGAATTTTGTCTAATTATTAAAAATGCTGATTACAAAGAATTTGTGAAGTTGGAGTTTCATGATTTAATGAGTTCGTTGGAAACTTCTGGATATGTTGATTTAATTGGGGCTGATGTCTTCTACTTCAGAATTTTCAAAGTTTTGGTTGACATAATAAATCAAATGAAAGAGAATGTCAAGGTTGCAAGGTATGCTATTAAGGGTGCTTTTTACACTTCAACCGTTAATATTAAATAATCCAAATATCTATTTGTTTGGATTGGCAAAGGTCAATTTTATCGCTCCAAATCAGATGATGACCCGAATTCGAGGACGAATTCTCTCCAACCCCACGAGAATGATACAGGCCAAGGACTAAGGGCTTTATTACATAAAATTACTAGTTTTAAATTTGTGGCTTATGGAATTCCTAGATTAATGACATTTTATGAAATCATTTAGTTTTTTAGGAGTTATATTGTAAGCCTTTATTTTTTTATGTCTTTTCATATTTTTCACTTTTAGTTGTAAGCCTATAAATACTTGTATTTGTTAAGAAGAAGGGGAGAGGTTGTTTGAATTATTATATTGATATTTGAGTTGTAAACTTGTTTTTATGTGTCTTTCTCTTGTTTAAGAGTCTGCTACTTTGTTCTTTCTAATGTCTACGTTGTAGGCTGGTACTATAACCAAAGTTCTTAGGGTTTTCAGGTATCTCCTCGCACTAGGAGATAGTGGACCTTACCTATCAATCATATCTATCATTTTATTTCGTTTCTATCCGTTGCACCTTGTATCAGATTGGGTATTTGTGAACGCTCGTAATATGAGGTGGGAACAAAGGCTTGATCTATGAGTTGTTGAAGTCAGTCAATTAATTATATCAACGTTTAAGCATTCAATTCAAACTTCTAAATATATTATATTTTATGGGGCTCGTTTGGCATGGACTAATTGGTACCACATTAAGTCATTCGATGACTAAGAAGAAGAACAAGCAAAGATGGAGGATAGGATGTAGAAGTTCAATAAGGATATATTATTTGCGGGAATACTTGGCTAGGCCTCAACTTTTCACCAAGAGCAACTATTCTTTATTCTCTCTTTGATTTTGTTTAACATGTGGATGTATCAACCGATTAAGCTAGTGATTGTGTAAATCCCATGCGATAAAGCTTTATAGTTTTAATTTGTGAATGGATATTTGTCGGAGGTGTCACATTACCAAAATGTTTGAAGTTTGGGTGGTAAATGAACAAAAGAAGACTAGTCCAAGTTCTCATTTGTGCATTTCTGTATTGCACAAGTATCCAAATGCATGTCAGGGAAGTTATTGCAAATTATTTACATATGCGGTTCAATATCCTTGTGGATAAACTGTTGGAATTCCATCCATGCGTCACAGGTTTGAAATTCTCCCTCACAAATTATTGTAATACTTTCGAACCATCCGCCTCTCTTTAAAAATAATAAATTTATTTTTAAAAAAGGAAATAGTAATAATGGTCCATCAACTTTAACAGAATTTGAACAATGGTCCATTTACTAAAAATCCATGACCAATGGTCACTTAACTCATCAAAACCTAAAATTATGATCCCTTTTGTCAACTCTAGAAAAACTTCCGTCAAAATAAGTCACGAACCACACACGTGAGGTTGAATCAAGGAGCACATATGGAAAAGAAAATGAGAAAATTATAGTAATGGTCCATCAGCTTTAACTCAACTGGAGTATGGTTCCTCAACTTTAACCCAATTGGAGTATGGTCCCTCAACTTTAATTCAATTGAAGTATGGTCCCTTAACTTTAACGCAATTGAAGTATGGTCCCTTAACTTTAACCCAATTTGAGCAATGGTCCCTCGATTTTAACCCAGTTGTAGCAATGGTCTTTCCACGATGACTCATTTTGACGAAAGTTTTGATGGAGTTGACAAAATGGAGCATAGCTGCACGTTTTGATGAGTTAAGGGACCAATGATGACCAATTTTTAGTTGAGGGACCAATGGTCACAAATTTTTAGTCGAATGACCAATGCTCCAATTGAGTCGAAATTAAGTGACCATTGCTACAATTTTCTCTTAAAAAAAGTAAGTTAGATGGTTTCAATTGTCATTTTCCTCTACAACTGAGGGGGTCCCACATATAGGATTAGATTCGATTTTTTTTAGTACAACAATATATTTTACATTAAGGAGAGGAGAACTTCGGCTAAGCCACACAATAGACAACTTAATTTGGTATCGAATTTTCCATCCATGAGATTCGAACATAAGTCCTCTTACTTACAAGTGAAAAAAAATAGCACCATACTGTAGGATCAACATCGATGTTTGAAACCCCCTTTTACATCTTTCTCTTTTTTATAATTCAAATCAAAATTTTCAATAATAAAAGCACTCATCTTTAAGGTTTAAATGCTTAATTTGTTCTTTCATTAGAAATTTAAATAATTTTGTAAGAGAATACACACGTCATTAAAATCAAAGTTATTTCTTAACAGTTTGGATGTAAACAAAACCATTTTCGTATTGTCTTGAAAATGCATTTGGTATGTGCATTTTTAATTTCCGCTTACCAAAGCAGCCTAAGAAAAAAAATATATAGAAAAGCTTATGAAAATGCAATTCCAATTGGAGGGAGTCAACAGCCAAGCTCCTGCTGCTAGTGAATCACAGGTGGACATATGTCTAAGTAATTGATTTTTTAATCACAATTTGAACACGTATTCACCTGTGATTCGCTAGCAGCAGGAGTTGCTGCTGATTTTTTCGGCAGCCGAGCTTTCTCCTTTCCAATTTCCTCATACCAAATGCAATCTAAGAAAAAAATGCACTTCCGATCTCCGCATACCAAATGCAGCCTAGGGACCGTAGCTTCTTTAGGGTTTTGTGTTTTCTGTGTGCTGGACTCCAAAGCTGACTTTGGGCTTTTTGGTGTTTTGAAGACCATTTTCCTTTCTTGTGCTTACCATGTATCTTGGCCTTTACGTTTGTAATTGTTTTTTGTTGGAAATGTATTTGACCGTTTGACCCAAGAAAAGCCCATATAGAAGTTAAAATAAACAAAAGGTAATGAAAATTAGGAGGACTGACAGTCTCTCTTTCCCCATATTAAATAAGGAAAACTAATGAAAGGGGTTTGAAAACTTTGAGTTTTAACGATAAGGACAAAATAAAGGGTAAAGTGAATAGTATCAGGATTGACTTTTTAGTGTAAAAATATGGTTTTTCGTTAAAATGAACAGTACCGGGAGCTTTTCGTTGAAGTTCCCTATTAAATATATTTTACCATCCATCTAATTATCTGATACGTATTTTTTACTTACTTTTGATTAATTCTTTTCAAAGTTAAAAAACTTAACATTTAATGTGAAAGTTAGGTGAAAACAACACATGACAAATAAGAATAATGTTAGGCAGACCAAATTTATTGACAAAATTTTGAAAATTAAAGAACATAAAAGTTGATGATTGATTTATTACTCAAACATTGATAAATGTGTGTTCATTCCTATTCGGGACACTTTATTTAATTTACAAATTTTACCTATAAATTTAGTCTTTTAAAGACAAATAATTAAGTAATTGGTGAGCGTATAGCATGGTGTGTGCTCACCTTTCACATAAACAAAGAAGCTGAAGAAAACGAGACGCTTTTGGACCTCACCGTCGCGCTCTCTCTCTCTACTGTAAGTCTCTCTTTCTCTCACTACAATCTGCACTTCCTTGCTGAAAAATTTGTTTGTTATGCTGATCATATGCTACCTGCATGTTGAATATTTGGCTTCAAATTTGTGGTTAGCGATGAAATTTTGTTTTGGGGAGCAGTATTTTTTTTGTTTGGCATTTCAAATACAACTTGTGTGATTGAGCAATGTAGGGAAGGTGACGTCGTTCTATTTTAGTGAGAGGAACTCATGCGCTAATTTCCGTTCCGCAGACATTTGTAAACACGATTAAGCCATTTGATTGAACATTCGAGATTCAGATGACTTTTTTTTCTGTGACTTTTGAGTGAAACTCATGCTGTAATGACCATTAAACTATTTTCTTGCAATTTTTACTCTAATGGGTTTCATGATGTTCGGATTTTCGCAAGCAAGTCGGTTTTCTAAAGTTGATTTGTGATGCTTGTACACAATCCAGATGGACTACGGCTCCTCCGGAGATGAATCCTATTATTTATTTATTTTCGTCATTCAGCTTGAGCCTATCTTTTTTTTTTTTTCGGGCGAAACATGTAGTTCTTTTATTGCAAATGAAATGTAGTTAATGCGGTTGAAGATTGAAGGATGAGTTTTACCGAAGATTCAGTTACTTTGTTGAGAACATGTTTAGAGTTCAGAACATGGTACTATTCATTTTACCCTTTATTTTGTTCTTATCGTTAAAATTCAAAGTTTTCAAGCCCTTTTCATTAGTTTTCCTTTTTTTTTGTTATTGCTTTGACCTTTCGGAGTGAAATCATGCTTGAAGCTGTCTCCTTGCAAGTATTCAAGCTTAGCGGGTTTGCTGTTTTCTGGATTAGCGAAATCAAGTCTGTTTTCTAACAATGGTTTGTGATGCTTGTAGGCAATCAACATGGACTACAGCTCTGAAGATGAATCCGATATTAGTGAGTCCGAGATCAATGACTACAAAGATAAACCATATGAGCGATTAAGGGAGGGAATGTATATGGTAAAGTGTCCTAATGGAGCTCTCAGATGCCCATTTTGTGTGGGGAAGAAGAAGCAGGATTACAAGTTTAAGGAACTGTTCCAGCATGCGTCTGGAGTGGCTAAGGGTTCTGCTAACAGGAGTGCGAAACAGAAGGCAAATCACCTTGCCTTGGCCATCTATTTGGAGACTGATCTAGCAAGTGAAGCAGACCCAACAGAACTTCCAGTTTTGCCTACACCTGTCGCTCACCAAGAGAAGGAAGAAGATCTCTACGTGTGGCCTTGGACTGGCATCATTGCAAACATAGTGAGCCAACCAAAGGACCCAAAAGATCTTGATTCTCGATACTGGTTGAGAAGGTTTGCTCAATTTAGACCTACCGAAGTTCATACATTGTGGACTGAAGAGGATCGAGCTACATGTGCTGTGGTTTACTTTAATGCAGATTGGACTGGTTTGGGGAATGCGACAGATTTTGAGAAAATGTTTGAAACAGATCATCACAGTAAAATGGATTGGAATACAAGAAAGCAACAGCCGGGCTCAAGCATCTATGGGTGGTGTGCACGTGCTGATGATTATCATTCCCAAGGGCCAATTGGGGAGTTTCTTCGCAAAACTGGAAAGTTAAGAACAGTATCCGACATTGTCCAGGAAGCAGCTCAAAACAGAAATGATGAGGTGGCCAACCTAGCCAACAAAATTGAGTTGACAAATGAAAACCTGTTGAAAGCACAGTACAAGTACAATGAGAAGACGATGTCTTTAAGTAGGATGCTTAAAGAAAAAGACAAGCTACACAATGACTTTGTTAAAGGTTTGTTCCTCACCCCTTTCTGTGGTTGTGTTTTGCTTGTGTTTATCGGCATGTGTAAACAATTGTCTGCTTTAAACTTCCCTTCGCATTTATGGGGAACTATTTGATTTTCTTACATCATATACGGCATTGTTGGGTCCTGTTGGACATTCTGTTAACGTTCTTTGCTGACTTGTTTTTGTGCTTATCAGAAACGAAGAAGATACAGGACATAGCAAAACATAATGTCAAGAGAATATTAGAGGAACAAGAGAAACTGAATCATGAGTTGGAATATAAGAAAAAGAAACTTGATACCTGGAGCAAAGAATTAAACAAACGTGAAGCACTGACTGAGCGTGAGAGACAAAAACTTGATGAGGATAAGAAGAAGGTAACACATGTTACATTCTTGTACCACTAAATATTACTTATATTAAGAATTTAACTAACCATTTTATCTACATGATTTCTTGCAGTCCATGTGTTGCAGTTTTGTTTGCGATCCCCAGTATTCGGTCTATTAGCTGCAGATTGGTTAAATGCAATCTAGATAGAAATTAATCTCTAACTTATAATGGGAGCTGTAGATATTTCAAGAACTTGAATTGTTAATTACTGATGTTGGAGTCTACTCAGTTTCCTATGTACTTATAGGAGTCTGAATGAGTACTAGTCCTCTATTAATGGGGAAACTGTAAGCATTATTAATCAAGTACTAATATAATCATTACCCATATGTACAAGGTGTAAGTCATACCCAGTTTCCTATGTGATTATTGAGAGACTAAAGGAACCTGAAACCTCATTGGAGGTGGTTAATTGGATTTTTTGCGAGTGTAGTAGTAAAGACTTATTTTGATTATGTCAAATCCATTATTCCATTCTGGGATAAGTAAATAAATTTTAGTTTACTTTTGTGTGTGTGTGTGTGTGTGTGGTTGATTTCCTGTTTGGTTTTTAAATTTTGTCAACAGGTAATCCTCGTAGTCTTACAAGATATAATGCTCCCCAGTTACAATTGTCCTACTAAGAAACACAACTGTGCACATATCTGATTTCCTTGTGCAAAAAAAGAAGGGAGGAAAATGAACATGATAGTGTATTCATCTGTTTTGGTACTAATATAGTTTTTGCCTATCCAGAATGATGAGAGAAACAATTCCCTTAATTTAGCTTCTGAGGAGCAGAAAAAGGCTGATGCGAGTGTCTTGAGGCTGGTTGAACAACAAAAGGTGTGTGAATTTTATGTTAATCTCACTAGAAACTGTCAAGCTTCCTTCCTAATTTGTTTTCTGTGGTTTTTCACTGACTTGGAATTTTAACTTTTCAGAGGGAAAAAGAGGATGCCTTAAATAAAATACTTGAGTTAGAAAAGCAGTTGGATGCTAAACAGAAGTTGGAAATGGAGATTGAAGAGATAAAAGGGAAATTAGAGGTGATGAAGCATCTTGGGGATCAAGATGATGATGCAGTTCAATCGAAGATCAAAAAAATGGAAGATGAATTGGGGGAAAAAGTTGATGAACTTGAGGATTTAGAATCACTAAATCAAACTCTAATCACCAAAGAACGCCAAAGCAATGATGAGTTACAAGAGGCTCGCAAAGTATTAATAGCAGTATGTCTACCTTTTTTTCTTTGTATTTGGGGATTTATTAGTTAGTAGTTATTCTTAGTTTGTGTATATTATGTGACCATCCATTTTTTAAGTACCCAAATAAGATCATTCAAGGGAAATAACCAAATTGGAACTGGTTTATCCATTTGATCATCATCCTATCATTCTATGTTCGTCAATCTCTTTGGAAAAACTTAAATGGCTAAGTTGTTTTAGATTTGTTATATTCTTGCAAGGATGATTGATGGGAAGCCTATAGAATCATTGGACCACATTGCAGAGTATACCCACAATATGTTCTTATTTCTCTTCTAAGACAAAGAGTTCTCCTACTCTTACACATTTAGACGTACAAATTCCAGACTAGAATATAGTTTTGTACACCTATTCCGCATGTTAATTTCATACTTATAAAACCAAAAATAATTTATCACTATCTTGTTAGAAAAGGAAAAGAAGAAAAAAGAGATTTGTTATTAGTATATGTTTCATCATATGATTCAGATAGTGAAGTCATAAAGCTCTTACTTCATCTCTAGGGTTTAAGTGAATTGTTGAGTGGTCGATCTCATATTGGGATAAAGAGAATGGGTGATCTCGATCAGAAACCCTTCTTGAAAGCATGCAAGGAACGGTACTCTCTTGAGGAAGCAGAGATGCAGGCCTTCACTCAATGCTCCTTATGGCAAAATAATCTGACAAATTCAGAGTGGCATCCATTCAAGATTGTAACTGTTACTGAGCAGCCCGAGGTATGTCTTATGAATACTGTAAACTTGATGGTTCTGGGACTCAGTTAATAAACAATAATGCAATTGAAAATGTGGAATGCAACAATGTTATCATGTTAAAATGCTCATCTAGTGACTTGTTATTTCACTTGTAAATGTATGTTTCAACAGATTCTTGGTTCTTTTGTAATATCGTGATACTAATTCTGAAGCATAAATTAGTGTTTATCAAGTACCTTTTTTTCTTTCTCTTTCTTTGATCTTTCCTGCTTTAGTCAACAAGGTTGAAACTTCCAGGAGAAAAACTTCGAATTGGGACGGGTATCCTCCTGGTGAACTGACCGTACCCCAACCAACACAGGTTGAAGTTACAAGACACATGGTTTATAAGACTCAGACGGGTTGGGTTGAGCTGGTTTATTTGAATACTTAGCTGGCAGTTTTGAATTTGAGAAAATTATAATAGGACTGGCGAGCGATGTTAAAATAGTAATGTCATTCCTGTGGACTGAATGGAATTTCATTTGTGTCCCTATCTCTCTGTTTGGCAAGGGTCCAGCTCAGTTTCTAACATTCTAAATTGAATGGTAGGAGTTATGCTATGTGCTTCTGAAACTTTACACTGACAGTCATACATACGCATTTTATTACATACCTGGGCGTGTTACAGAGTATCCTTGCAAATGCATTGCATTGATAAAGTACGTACTGTGATTTTTATTCTTTTTGGTTTTTGTTTTTGTGTATTGAAAAATATTGGGTACAAGTTGGGTCGAACAACGTTTTCCTTGTGGAGGATGCGTGGAGAAAAAATTTGAAGAGAGAAGTTAATAACTTTTATGCATGATAATGTGTATTATTATTATTATTATTATTTTCGTGTCAAATCACCTGTACATTAGGACAATTGGAGGGTGGTTAGAATATGATTAATTTGCTGCGGTGCTGTGTGATGCAGGAAATAGTCAATGAGGAAGATGAGAAACTGAGAAGTCTGAAGGAGGATTGGGGCACTGATATATATGAGTGTGTCGTGACAGCCCTGAAAGAACTCAATGAGTACAATCCAAGTGGGAGGTATGTTATCCCTGAACTGTGGAATTTTAAAGAAGGAAGGAAAGCCACGTTGAAGGAGGTTATCTCTTTTGTTTTAAAGAATATAAAGACACTCAAGCGAAAGAGAAAGTGAAGTAAAGGTTAGTTTCATTATTATCTGAAAGTTAACCTTTTTCTCAAGACATTGAATATTTCTCTTCTCGGGGCTTATTTCTGCATGAAAAAAATTTGTGTTTTTATGATTCCCTTTCTACATTCGCTTTTAAAATAGGATGCTAGTTTTTTTACTGTTATTATCGCTTTCTATTTTGAAGTATTCATGATTCTAACAATGATAAGCTTTCGGTTCTATTTATTTCAAAAGACTATTAGAAAGTGGAAACAGACTTGCATGTCCTCTGCAAGTAAGAGTAATACCGGCAGTTTTATTGACAGGCAATTTTGACAAGTTCTAAAATAACAGAGAGCTTCAACAATACTGGCCTGTATGTGTCAATAATTTAGCACGCATTGAAAGGCTTGGATATTTGTTAGTTTTTGAGAATATACCTCAAACCACTTTAAATATTGAAGCTCCTGTCTAGTAGAGTTCAGTTACAGCTGTCCCGGGGAGAACAAGTATGGTAGTTTCTGGTGTTTTATCGTCAAAATTTGGGCGGAACTAGTAAATGGAGTTCCTCAGGCTTGCGTGTTTTGCCTGGTTATGATTTTCTTCAGTTCATTTTATCTCTCTACACATCTTGTGCGTATTAACCTCAGAATATTATTGTTGAAATTTAAATGACTTCTGAGGCTAAGAATCTTAAGATTCAGGATTCAGGTGAAGCATTTTTACATAAACTGCTGGAACCACAGTGGAATTGAAACCTTTCAGCCAACCATCATTGGTTTACTCACGCGAATCTTGTCACGGTATCTTTTCTTAGGTTTGTTTTGACAGGCAATGTTAGCAGAAGCAGATGAAATACGGAGCGCAGTACATATACAGACTAGTTGGATGGACAGGGCAACGGGGCAGCGCACCGTGTTCTTTTGGGGGACTGTATTTACGTGTTTAAGTTTCGCCTCTGCGATTACAAGAGCTTGCCGTAATTGCTGTAACAATACTTTTGACTGCTTATGAACCTCAAGTTATCTTTGTAAATATGCTTTCACCATCTCTGTTGTCCATGGCTTTTACAAACTTTACAGTAATGAATGCGTTTTGCCGTTTTGGTGATCAGCCTTGGGCATGCTTGAAGCAAATACCAAGAAGTCATAACTAAGACCGACGAAAAGGAAAAAGAAGCTTTCTGCTGCCGGGAGTTGAACCTGGATGATAACTTCAATCCAAATTATACAAGCGTCATTACAATAGGGGAGATTCGAACTCAGAACATCAAAACATCGAATGCGAGGGCAAATGTTCTTAATCAGTTGAGCCGCAATCTCTAGTTTAGAAGATTTCTTAATAACGATGGCTAACATAAAGTCAACGAATAAAACTGAAAGAAAAAAGAAAGAATATCGTGATGAAACCTAATCTGATATTCTGAAGTAAAAGGAGATCAAACGATTGGAAGGGAAGGGAGGTACGCACGAAGAGATGGTCACATGAACATGAGAATTTTTGTTGTTTATGCCCCCCTACACTTATTCTTCCGTGAAAGAGAGATTTTTCAATGTGGATGGTACACATGTCGGTACGCCATTCATACAAGAGGAGAGTAATTTATTTTTTCAATTATTCCTTCGCTTTTATAATGACATATGACGTGTGTGGCCGTGTTAAGCACATTAAAAAATCTCTCCCACAAAAAAAAAACCCTTTTAAGCTTTTCCCACTTGCATTAATATGTTCAAACATTCCATTGATGCTCTCCTCTCCTCTCCATCAGAATTTTTTCTCGATGTTTTTTTTTTGTGCAAAATCAGTGAAAGCATAATTATCCCATATTCACTTGAATGGACATGTGGTTTGGTTCTACTGCATACACAAAAGAGATGAAATTACAGGTAATGTTAGAGAAACTAAATTTGTAGACAGAATTTTGCAAACTAAATGACATGGAAGTTGACTGTTGGATTGTGACTTAAGCATTGATAAACGTGCTCATTTATATTGATGACACATTATTTAGTTGGCAAATTTTGTCTACAAATTGTCTCCCTAACATTACCCTGAAATCAATATTGAAATAAAAAAACATAGGGGATAAGAGAAAACATGCCAAAATTGTACATACAAACAAATTCTAAGATATGTACAAGGGAGGTAGGAAAAGCATATTCTTACCATTATAAGGAATCATTTAGACTAATTTACAAGGTGTCAGTCATAATAATTAGATATCAAATTTATCATCTATGCATGTCGAATCTGGAATGTCCCACTTTTCTTCCTATGGCTAATGAAAGAATCACTTTTCTTCCTATGGCTATTACGTGAAGAGATATCTGTTTATTACGTGAAGAGTTATATCTCTTTAGTACGTGAAGAGTTTATCTTCGGGCAGCTAATGAAAGAATCACTTTTCTTCCTACGGCTATTACGTGAAGAGTAAGAGTTATACTTCTTCCTTCCAATACGAAGAGATACATTTTCAGCGGCTGGCACATTCAATGTTTTCACGCCAAAAAAATATGTTTCCATACCATTCGATCAACACCATTTTCTATCATGATATTTTCGTGAAATATATATAAAACTAGAAATCAAAGAATTCTTCCATATTTCAAAATATATAAAACTAGAAATAATACTCAATCAATCTTTCTATTAATTTTAATTATACACATTTTCATGCATACAAGAAGGCATCTTTCGATTTTAATATTAAATTAGTGTATCTCAAGATTCTAATAAATACAATAGTGGTCTACCTTAAACTATGTATTATCAATCAAAACTGGAAAATATCACACACATGCATACTTTAGCGTAAGGAGATGATTCTGTATCCAGTTAGCTATTTTGGCCTTGTACTACAACATGGTTTCATAAATATTTATAAGAGAAAACTCAAAATCTCTTGGTAGAAGCGGCACCATTTCCTCATCATTATCTGAAAATCATCTCTAAAAATTTTCATTTGACTTGGATACAGTCCATATGAATCAAACAAATTAACAATTATGAGGGTATTATTTATCATAACTGTTTATAAGATAAATTATGTCATGGTATCATATAAAAAGAAACAATTAATTACATATAAGGAGCTAAATATTTCTTTGAGTATCGTCTCTCTATCAGAACGAATAAACCTTAGCAATGGCTTCATGTGGCAATAATATGAGGATAACAGACATATCAAACAAACTCCCTCTAATAATTAACCCAAACAACGCAATACACACCCATCCATTTCCGAAGATTTAGGACTAATTTGTAAGTACTTTTAAAATGATTGAAAGTGCTTTTAGAGAAAATATTTTTGGGTTCCAAAAGCACTGGAAGCACTTCAAGTATTTTTTCAAGATTCACTTATATATTTATCAAGAATTGGTTCAAAAAATAGTCACAAAAAACGCTGTCACCTTATCATGACTTAAAGTTGCTTCACTTCCCTCCAATATACTGCCAATATCTTTCTTTCTTTCATTTCGTATCTTTCTCCTTTCTTATTTCCTCACCATGTGACGGGTTTTTGGCATACACAATTATTGAGTTAAAGATACTCAAATCACTATTTTGCATATATTTTGAAACCAATGATAAAATAAAGCTAGAAAATAAACAAATCTCAGTTTCTCACCGTCCACTTCCTCATCTCCAGCAGTTCCAACCACTTCTTTTGCTCACTTTTTTTCCCTTGGGATTCTCCAAGTCAACCTGCAGCCTAACACTACTACTCTATATAACGACAGATCCCTCTCAATGTAACTGGAAGCTCAAACTTTCTCTTCAAAACATACAGACAAACCAGTGCAACTGAAAGCTTAAACTTTCCCTTCTCTTTTCTCTTTTCTCTCTGTTTTTTTTATTGGAGTTATATACAGCTGATGGATAATAGTGATGAAGTTCCATCAGCTCCTTCGACTCCTGTAACACCAGGGACTCCTGGTGCCCCTCTCTTTGGCGGGTTCAAGCCAGATCTCAGAAGTAGTGGGATTGGTAGGAAATCCCTCCTCAGGAGCTGCAGCAGCTGCTTTACTGTTGATCCTTGGGCTTTGGAAGATGGCACATTGCAGCCTAAAGTTTCCTGTGCACTGCCTTACCCTCCTGTCTCACTTGCACGAAAGGTAATTCACTAAAAACCCCAATTGTACTCAAGTTCATAGTTCGAATCTCTCATTTCGTTGTTTTTTTGGGCTTGTAACACCCCATAATCCGATGTCAAAGTTGAAATCTCTCTTTTTTCTCGCTTTTATCAAAAGTTGGGTCGTTTAGTAAACCAACTGCAGATACTCTTGGTAGTTCAGGCGATATTTGTGCAATTTTCGCGTCGCATGTGCTTAAAGAATATTTACCAAATTTGAGATCTAAGACTAACCCATTTTGTTTGATGCCTAATCTGTGATGGGTCGGTGCCAAAAAAACAGGTGGGAGCTGAATTCTTAGGCACTTTCATACTAATATTTTCTGGGACAGCCACGGCCATAGTGAACCAAAAGACACAAGGGTCAGAGTCTCTGCTCGGCCTTGCAGCCTCCACCGGTCTCGCTGTCATGATTGTCATTCTCTCGACAGGCCACATTTCTGGGGCCCATCTCAACCCCGCAGTCACCATTGCCTTTGCTGCGCTGAAACACTTCTCGTGGAAACATGTGAGTGATGAGCTATGAACACACAAATGCCACTGCATCTTAGAACTAATTACGGCCATGCCAGTCCTGTAGACCTTCAGGATAGTGATGTTCACGCTCCCGGTTTCTCGTCAGTTGATTCTCTTTTTAATTATTCAATCGTAAGACTAGAGAAACAAAAAGACCAGTGCAGAAGAGAGAAAATGAGGGTGCGAAATCATTTCCAACGTTCAACTTTCCGGCTAATGTTGGCTGGGGTATGGTTTTTGGCAGGTGCCAGTATATGTGGGAGCACAAGTTGCGGCGTCAGTTTGTGCTGCGTTTGCGTTGAAGGCGATATTTCATCCAATCATGGGCGGTGGAGTGACAGTTCCTTCAGGGAGTTGGAGCCAGGCTTTTGCCTTGGAATTCATGATTAGTTTCAACCTCATGTTTGTTGTTACTGCTGTCGCCACCGACACTAGAGCAGTAAGTTCGTCTCTCTATTTTTATTTATTTATTTTTCCGGATTCAAACACTTCCTTCTGGAAATAAATATCGCTTGTATTAAAAAAAAAAATATTATAAATAACGAGTATAGTAACTTTCAATTTGAGTTTGAACATAAAATAAGACTTTGAATCGCTCGAATTACAAAATGTTTATTAAAATTATTGCCTTTGAGGGAAGATTTTTGTGACATTTAATTGGTGGCAAAAGATTAGATATATAGAGCAGTTGAAAAATTGGTCCCCAATGTTATATTTAATTAAATCTGCATCCAGTCAACACACACTTCAAGGATTAAGGAGACAGGAATTCCATTTTAAATGGAGTATGATTCTCTCTCCTCTTGTTCCATCTCCTTCCATCATTTCCTCTCGCACATTAATTTTTGTCTTATTATCTCTATGAAAAATCAATATAAAATGTTGACGTAGCTTAACTGTGACCGTTCAAATAGAAGAAGATGGAATGAGAGAGAGAATAGGAGGGGAGAGAACCTCCTCCTTTTTAAATATGTTATCTACAACTGCATGAGACAAGGGTCAATGAATGAAAATTTTCTATGAATAAATATGGGTTAAGTCCGGATAACTATTCAATCAACATTAGGTAATGATGTCTGTAGCATTAAACGATGTGGTGGACAAATACTAAACTTGGTCTCCACCATTCATCGTCTTTGGAGAGCTGATTCCCCAAATTGATCATTTTAGACTAAGTCAAGCTGTAAATTTGTTTAGCTAAACTATGTCAATTTGAAGAGTTAAAACTCTATAAATGACTTGAGAGTACAAACCTGCTAGTGAACCTAACAAATGGCTCTTCAAAACGTTTGGTTGTTATTTGAAATGTTATAAAAGGTTACGACAAATTTAGAATCACCCTTAAAAATTGGGTAGTTTTTTTTTTTTTTTTTTTTTTTTTTTTTTTTGTGGGGTGGGGGGGATCTCGATGGTACGAGGGAAACTTTATTGAGGGTAGTTATCCCGACTTAACCCATATAATATTAAAAGTTTATATCTCACCTTAACCTTAAGAAGTAGAAACTAGAAACACATCCAAAGAATAAAATATGTGAAATTATTAATAAAACAGCACATGCATACATGACTGACTGATCAAAATTTTAACCATATACAGGTTGGAGAGTTGGCGGGAATCGCGGTGGGAGCAACTGTCATGCTTAACATACTCATAGCTGGGTATGTCACTACTCCAACCCACTACTCCCTCTACAATATCTTACTTTTGGGCTGAATAATGAATCTATAATCCTAAGGACATGGTTTAGTTATGCCTGATCGTATATTCCTTTGTGTCTGTCTCCCATCATGTTAAACGAGCTAGACACGAGGAGATACACACATCGGGATCCCTGTTTATTCACAACGAGTAAGCAATTGCCATGTTATATGCCATATCATATGTTAATGCACCCGGATCACACAATTCACAGGCAAAACGAATGCATTCTTAAACTTACGTAGAAACACACATCAATGCTATTTCAGGATGATCTCTTGAAAAGTTTCGTTTTCTTTTTCACAATTGTGCAGGGAAACAACAGGAGCTTCAATGAACCCAGTGAGAACGTTAGGGCCAGCCATAGCTGCAAAAAATTACAAAGCCATATGGGTCTACCTCACTGCACCATTTCTTGGGGCGCTCTTTGGGGCTGGAACCTATACGGCTGTCAAGCTGCCTGAAGATGGTGATGGTATTGAAAAGCCTTCACCAAGGAGCTTCAGAAGATGACTGATCGACATTCTCATCAGGCCTGCATCAATCATCCAGAAGCTCGGATAAGGACATAATGCAGATGGTGTCGCAAAGGGAAGTGGGAGAAAGTACAGTTGCATGATGATCTCTGGCGGGTACATACATATATAGTACAAATGAAATAGTCTGTATCGATAATTTGCCAAGACACGCATTCTCTCCCGTCCCACTCCAACAAATAAGAAATTTAAAAAGTACAAGAGTATAAATATGAGAATTGACCCCCTTTTTTGGTAAAATGGGGGCATATGAGATTGACATATTGTGGTCCTTTCTTAATATATAAGGTTTGCGAAAAAAGAGCTTTCGAGGAGTTCAAGCATGTTACTTTCAAGGTTTCGTAGTTTCCCAATCTACCAAAATTCACTTAATGTGCATAAAGGACTGTATCTACTATCTTTTCTCATATTTCTCTCCAGTCATTTCAAAGTTCAAAACAAAATAAAAATTCCATACAGATCTGGTTTTACACTTTTTAGCGTAAATAGTATATGCAATCAATTGATGTGTAAATAAGCTCCGAAGGCATGAAAATTACAATGACAGCCTAGTAACTCAATAAGAAGCTATCCCGCTTATTCTACCCCCAAAGAATGCATCTTTTCTAATTTCAAACCGATACCAACAATTGATACACATAAGTTATATTGAACTTGAGTTAAAGTTTCTGCGCTTGAAATGCCCATATATATCTAATTAGATGCATAACCTGTCTATGCAATCATAGGAGCCATGCATACAATTAAAAGGAATATAGTTCCTTTGAGTAAAGAAATAGGTGCATAACATTCAACCACAACAACAACAACACAGCCTTATCCCACTACGTGGGGTCGGCTATATGAATCCTAGAACGCTTGGCTCGGTTTTGTGTCATTTCTTCCATTATATCCAAGTAGTCCAAGTCTTCCGTTAGATCCAATGTTATGCATAGACAGGTGCATAACATTCAACCACAACAGAAAATATAAAATATCCATCACTGAAGTACAGGATCAAAATTCAAACAAAAAGTTTCATATAAGACTCAAAACAAGCTGAAATTTGACAAAGGGCACTCCAGAATGAAATCCAAGAGGAAATACTTCCTCATAGTTCCTCAGGTAAACCATTTGGCATCAAAGTATGAATCTATCATCCCATTCAAGTTAGTGACCAAACCTATGAGAAGGATGCATAGGAGAGTTAGAAGATTTTTACTTGTTTCTTCTTAGCCTAAGGGTGTTAGAAAATCACATAAGAGAAGACGACATAACTTTGCAACTAATTTGGTTTCAAGCACAATCTTACCAAAATTCTTCCTGGCTCTATCTAATTATTGATTTTTTGCAAAATCAAATGTTTAGAACCAAGCTAATATGTCTGTATGCAGACAATCATCCAAGCAGCTACGCAAGTTGATCTTTCATAAATTGACAAGTGAACAACAAGCAGTAGGCAATACATATTGCAAAGATAACTGGTTAAGACCCGAGGAGTTCTTATGGATTCTCAAATTTGGTATAGAAACGACTCATTAAGACCCGAGGAGTTCTTTTGGATTCTCAAATTTGGTATAAAGCTACACAGTAGATATACTTAAAGGGGAGTGGATAATGTCAAATCGTTATAGCAACAATACTTCTCACGTGATCTCTATAGATATGAGATTATAATTTGATGAGTCCAAAAGTTTTAAAAACATGTTAAACAGCAGAAAATCCAATACTTTCCATTCGATTGGAGAAGCACACGTTAATATTTTGAATGACATAAATGGGGTTTCAAACCTATGGTTAATCCTTCTACTATCCACAAATCCCTCTTTCAAATGTGTTAACTTTTTCTTGCAAGTGCATCGAATGTATCCAACCTGTTGCAGCTTTATCTACAATTCTATATCTATAATGCCCATGTCGAAGAAACATACACATAGACTTGGTTTTACTGATAGTAAATACAAATATCTAACCCATAATGTACAAAACAAAAATGGAAAAGCAGTCACTCTCCACTATTGTAAAAACAACATCCATAATCTAAGCTTCTTTGTATAAAAAAAAAGATCCAAATAATCTGAGTTAGAACTTAGGGAAGCACTCAACTGAGCCGCAAGCAGTCTTAGGAGACTGCCTTTGTCCAATCTGCATAAACAAGAAAGAAGGATCCATCCTGAAATTTTTATGAGGATGAAGCTAAACTTTGTATGGGAAGGGTCCATCCACTAACCAAACTGATATTTCTTATCCCAAATTTGTACAAATTAACTTCAAAATAGCAGACATTGCTACCAAAGTTATCTACTCTTAGTTTTCCCGCTTTTTCTCAGGTTAAGTAAGTGTTCTAGGCTTCTAGCAACATATTTCTGATTACATGTCTTATAATGCGCTAAACCTTGTACAAAGATCATACACATACAATACATTAAGGATAAATAAAGTTATGCAACACCTCCTGGAGGTCTGGACATCCACAAGAGATGTATGAATCTCAATGTTGGGGTCATTTAAAAGCAATCGCAATAATTTAACGGAGTAATAACAAATACAACTTAAAGCTAAAAGCAAAAACAACATAAACCACAACTTTGTGATGCCTTGAACAGAAATGTAACTTTCTATTAAAATCATCAGACATGTGTAGAAGCAAGTGAATGAAGTACATTGCACAAGCAGACATATTATCAACTACATATAATTTAAGCAGACATATGAAGAACAACCAAATCACCATATCTGTTTCTGATCCTACATAACACTGTTCATCATTTCAGAGAAACTTAAATTGTATTTAATGGAGTAATAACAAGAAAAACTTACCTAAAGTTAACGAATTGCTCGAACGATTGCCCGCAATGAAAAGCTCAGTGCCGTCATCTTTTGCTAGCTTCTGCCACACCTGAGCGAAATCCTCTTAATATCTCGAGATCACAAACTCAAAACTTCCACTTTCTCGTCTTTTCCCACACTTTCTCGCCAACCAAACTCCTCTTCAAACACCCAAACTAACCCAACCCCACCAACACTTCCCATAAACCAGACAACCCCATTACCCATTCCGACCCAAAAGCCCATTCAGACCATCGAAACCTCTTTGAGCCGACCCGTCTCATTCTCGGGTCGAGTCACATACTTGACAAAATAAAGCACCAGCGAGCCGATTAGGACGCCAACGAAATCGGCAACGGCGTCTTTAGCGGAGGCTCCGGCGGACCTGAAGAACCCGAGCTCGTCAGCGAACTCCTTGACTGCGCCGGCTAAGAGAGACAAGATGGATCCGAACCAAATAGAGTGACGACGGAGAAACGGGTACCGGGTTCGGGTGGCTAGAGTGGAGAAGATGAGCGTGAGAGAGAAGCAGAAGAGAACATGTTGGAGCTTGTCTGGGGCTAACCACGGGTCATTGTCGCCCATTTGGAGATTCGAAGGATGAGTGTTTTTTTTTTTTTTTTTTGGAAAATGAAGGATGAGTGTTTGGTTGGGAAGAAAATGAGTCGTTCGAATCTTCTCCTTCTGACCTCTCATGTATATGAACAAAATAAAAATGATAAGAAATAATCAACAGTTTCTTATCATTCTGTAATTTTTATTATTTAATAAAATGCTCAACGTATTGATCGTTTGCAAGGTTTCTCGCTTTAAATGTCTCTAAGCATAGATTGAAGAAGCAGTGCATTATCTTTTATCTTTCGTCTACGACACGTCATGTTTGGCGCTCTTTTTCCTACCCTGAAGTTTTGTTCCATGTGGTTTTCGTAACACATCCGCTCTAGTTTTAACATTCATGTATAGAAATGTAGAGAGACATGCTAACTTCTAGTTCAAACCAAAATAACAATTCATCCTTTTGACTCCTTTACCGCATCAGACTCCATACAATACTGTTTTTGTATGCATAAAAAGATAAAGACAACGACAATCCTCATTAAACCAAAATCATTGATCATAAGACCTCCTCACATGCTAATTCATCTTGCTAATTAGTTCATTGATCTTATCCCCGCGATCGCCCGCGTCTCCCCCGTCCTTGAATACCGTTTTTGAGCCTTTCAATCCTGCTTCAGGCTTGTTGAGCACAAAGGGCCATAAAAAGCCGGTAACCTCCTTAAAATGTGGGCCAATCGTAGAAATTTCATGAACTATATCTTCTATGCATATAACATCATGCTGCCCCATTGCCTGTCAGATAAAAGAGGGGTGCTTACAAATTGAAATAAGAAATTGATGACTGCTAAACAAACTACGATCAAAATTCGGCAAGACATTACCCATTACCTGTTCAATAAGGTTGTTGTCTGTCAGAGGAACTTTCTTCTTGTCGATCTTTGCAAAGCCCTTCTTGTAAATCAGATCCCTCACATTCTTAAGATTAGGATACCTTCGGAAACCAGAAAAATATCATCATGAGTCATGACCACGAAGCATTGGTCAGTAATAGACAAGCACCAATACAAGGGAAATCAAATTGATTGCTAGATCCTATGAAATGGATATCCATATTATTCAATACATTGATTTAGTTAAATTTGCGGGAGCCCCCCCACTCAATTTGCGGGAGCCCCCCACTCAAAGCACTGTTGTTCAACAGGGATGCAATTATGGTGAATGTTGTCTAGCCACATGCACCAACAAATATTACTTGTACATAACTATTGTTGCATCTGAACATGTGTTCGGTCCTACAACACAACATCGTAGTTCAAATACTAAGACAATAAATATTTAAATCCTGAGACACAAGACATGAAAGATGACAACTTAATAATTACGTACAAAATGATTTCAGGCATTTGGTGTAAATGAATATGAAAAAGTAAAACAAATTCGACTTGATAATTGTCTCTTAAATCTTAACAGCCATAAAATCCCACTAATCAAGATTATAGAAAACAACTAACATCCTATGCAATTTCTCTGTGTAATGAAAAATCCCTAGACCGGTTATCAGAGAAGAAACCAAACAACCAATTGAAATATCAAGGTTTGAAATATTAAGCAGTGCCACCAAAAAAAAAAAAAAAAAAAAAAAAAACAATACGGAAAATTTCTATAAAGTAAGAAAACACCGGTATCAGCTCCTCAGCTGATACCGAAGTACTAAACTTACAGTTTTTATGTGTTTTGATGACAGGTTCCAACTTTATTATTGTACATGGCAAGCAAGCATTTGTTGACAGACAATTTGAGCTCACATATTAAGCTCAAAAAGATTTGATACAAGAACAGCTCGGATACATCTAGATAGAATGTCCAAACACATGGCAATTCATGATGTCTGAATAAAAAATCAGCAAACAATAAATGATTTTATTTTTTTCCACTTTTTCTATTATAGAGAAATCAGCTATTGCTACTGAGTTTTGTCATTTATATATCCACTTAAAATATTTTAATTCTGGCATAAAAGTACAAGAATCGAAGGATGCGCAAACACCTACCCGTAGGTAACATACGGCTGCACCCTCTGCAACTTTTCTAATATAGCATCAGTTGTTTTCACAAAGACAGCATTGAAAACTTTCCTCAATTTTAGGCTGTATAAGGCCTTCCTAACAACAGGGTGCATGTCATTTTTCCTGGAAAGAAGTATTGAGAAATTAGAAATAGAGAGTTCAAGTTAGAGATAATAAGCAAAATAAAACATATCATGTTAAACAGAAAACCTACCCCTGTATGCGGATGATCAAAAGAAGCTGTGAGTTAGTTGCATCCAATGTCGGCCTTTTTCTCTTTAACCTGTGTCTCATATGGACGAGGTCCATCTCCTAATTAAAGAAACAGGTAATTTCAATCAAGGACTGCATTAGAATGTAGACAGGCTACTGAATATCAATATACAAATCAAGTTGCAGAAACAAACAAGCCTGTGGAAACATCACCCCGCTCAAGGATACTCAATACTTAGCAAGAAAAAACTTTTCAACAAGCTCATAAGAGCTGTCTATCTTAAGTTCTGAATTTTAGCATAATACACAACTTCTACTACATATTGAAATATTTAAAAAACCGTCTTTATAACGCAAGTTTTTTACACATTATTCTCAAATCCCACGTCTCAAAGAGAAAGTTCAGTACAAATATCTCAAATTTCAACGGTAAAACAAATTCAATCTTTCTCCTGAATGAAATCGCAATTAGAAAACATAAATGTTCGCAATCTCTTTACATCACAGATAAGGGTCTCTAATTATAACACTCGAGCATAAAGGCGGCACTTTACAGCATTCGGGGACTTACAATTAACAGAGTTAATGCCACTTTTTCACACACAACAACATAAATCAACGCCGAATTAAACTTGATAATTGAGTTTCATTGCACAATACAACAAGGAAAAGCATGAAACGCAGCAGTACAAAACATCGCTTGCAAATAAATTACTAAAAGAGCAAAAGGCTTACCCTGTAGCGATACTCCTTGACGAAATCCTCAGGTTTCTTAATATATTCTTGCTTATTTTGCTGAGACTTAAACTTCCTCTGCTCCAATTGCTCTTTCCTCCTCAAAGCCAACTCCTCATTGGTTTTCCTTCTCTTCAATATCACCTCCGGTATATACGTCAACGGCTGCGCCACCTCTTCCGTCATCACTCCCTTCTTCAACCACACAAACCCACCAATAAATAATCAGAAACTCAATCAAAATATAAACTTTATCCTGGTTTCCTAAACTTTCTCAGGAACCAAACAGAACCCAGAAGAAAAAAGGGAAAATTATCATTAAAAAATATGGAAAATTGGAGAGGGAGAGGGAGTTACCTGGTGTATGAGTGCTTGAACGCGTCTGGGGTTGGAGGCTGCGTATAACAATAAGAGTTGAAGGTTTGAAAGCGGAAGGAAGCAAAATGGGTGAAGGAGAAGAGTGAAAGAGGAGGAGAAAGACTAAGCGGCGCGAATTGGGCTTTGGAGGCGGTTTAGGGCAAAATACACAGTAGTGTTGTATACCCAACAAAGGGTAGATTTTAAGTAAAATAATGAAAATGGTTTGAAAACTATTAATGATAATGATAAAATAAAAGGTGAAGTGAATAGTACTAAAATTGACTAAAAGTTTTTTTAATGTAAAAATGTAATTTTCCGTTAAAGTGAGCAATACCTATAATTTTTCGTTAAAATTCTCCAGATTTTATTATAGACAAGAAGTTGCTAATTAGACCCTATACTTATTGTACCCAACATAAATTGACCATTAAAGACTAGGACAAACATTTAATTCTCTCTCCATGTGTAGACAAGGGTATCAATTTCAGACATGACAAGTTGTAGACGCAAAACGAGTATAAATATTGGGAACCAGATTCTTTATGGATCCAAATAAACTAAGCCTTATGAGCAAAGAATGCGAACAATTTTGTTCAACTAATATTCTAATACAATAATTCATACTATCCATTAAAAAATTGGACCATTGAGGTAAAAAAGTTATTAATTAAACCCATATGGTGAGGCCCTCAGCAATTGATGTTCAAACCTAGACTTCCATTAGTTTTAATACCAATAGCTCTGCAACTGTGAGAAAGTAATCGTCGAAGTCGGATTCGATATATATCACCATTGTCGTTCATCGGGTTACTATCATGATTAGTAATTTAGTAGCGTCACTGGTTATCGTTTCATTGTTTCAATCACAGGGGAGAACAAAGCTAGTGCTTGTACTTAAGCAGCAACTTCACTGTACTCTTCAAAGAGCCAACCACCATCGTGTTGTGCGGAAGCGGCGTACGACTGTAAGTGAATAGTAAGACAGAACAGAATAAAAAACAACACCAACAAGAACACCAAGATTTATACTGGTTCGGCAATGCCTACATCCAGTTTGGAGACGACGGAGTATTCCACTATAATCAATGAGAACATACAATAGTGTTTATCACTCAATTTCCCAAAGACCCAAATAACCCCAAGCTCTCACACTTACAATAGGAAGAGAAAACCAAAAAATACAAAGCAAGACAATTTGAGAAAATTCTTCTCTATGCCAAATGGCTTCTTGCTATTTTTCTCTCTTCCTTGTTCTTCTCTACTTCTCCATGCTTATGAGCTACACCTTGCTCTCCTTTTATAGCCAAAGAAAAGTTTCTCAAAGACATCAATGGCCAAAGGCCTAACATCAAGTCAAAAAGAATTAGGCATAAGTGCATCCAATTTTGGTTTCCCACATGTAGCATGCCATCCAACAATTTTGACCACAAAAGTAGCCCAAAGATTTGGACTTTGACTACATGTTTGAGTCAATAATCAACAATCTCCACCTTGACTCAAACCCTCTAAGTAGAACTCCAAATAGTCGTCTCCCAATCCCCCATGGGGCAATCAACAAATTTTACAAATGTTACAAATGCCAATCTCCACCTTGGCTCCACCTTGGAACAATAAACCAACATCCACAGTACCCAGAATATACCGTAGAATCCATTTCACAGCTTGCCAATGCCCTTTTCCTGGATTATGCATATATCTACTGACAATGCCCTTCCCAGCAACCTTAAAACCTTCTGGTTGAGACATATAAATC